AGGGAGGGCCTTCGCGGGGCTTCCTTGCACTCCCGCCGGCCTTGCAGGTCCACCGCCGGGCCCCTCATGGGGCTTGGCAGTGGAGCTGCAAGGCTGGCGGCGGCGGCCGGGACCGTTGGGGGCGGGGTGTGTGGCCTTATGACACACTTCCGGTGATGTCAGGGGGTGTGGCATATGCTAATGAGGTATGCTAATGAGTTCCCCTAGCTCTTTTTCTACGAAACGACCCCTGGATAGCAGAGAGATGGAAGCGATGGCCTCCGCGGTGGGCCTAGCGATAAGGAAAGCCTGCCAGGAGTAGGTTCGGCTGATGCTGTTGGGGCGTTTGGGCTGAGTCGTACTGGGCGTCTTGAGCTGCTGCTGTCACACACCAGGGCCTGACGGGTACCTACTTGCACTCCTCCGGTGTATGCTTGGCCTCGTCTGTGCAGCTGTAGAATTTGCCCTGAGGGGGGAACACAAACAAGAGGAGATCTTGGATCAGAGTCTGGTCGTGAGGAGACAAGCTGGTCTTCCGCTCCGGGGAAGGTCCTGCCCTCCTGACGTCTGAGAGAGACGCCTAAACCGGCCCTGCCTGAACAGCATCCTTCAGTCCTTCTGGACCCGGGAGCCATCTTGAAACCAACCTGTTACGTATTGGGACTGAAACATTCCAGGTCGGTCCCATCAGAGACTGGCTGAGCTTGGAGCACAAGAGCAATAGCCTACCAGGACTCTAGAAGTAACCAGTCAAGAAGTAATCTTATGTAAATAGCCTATCGTTGGGAGTGGGGTGTGTTTGGGTGTGGCAACTGCATGCTATTTAGCCAGAGCTGAGGCTCTGGGTTTTTGTCTTGCTCTTGCTGAAATCACAAATAAAGTTGAGCTGATCACTGGATACGAGCCTGTTCATCCATGGAACCCACTATTTAACAGTGGCGACGAAGGTGAGATCCTGTTGAGCCAGCCCAACGCCCACCAGCACTCCACCACGCACTGAGCTCTAGCTCTGGGGTTTTGTCTTGCTCTTGCTGAAAACACAAATAAAGTTGAGCTGATCACTGGATTCGAGCCTGTTCATCCATGGAACACACTATTTAACGCAACCCCAAAAACCCCAGCACCCACGTTTATTATCGTTTTAGAGGCTAGCCGCGTTGGTTCACAGCAGAACTGCGAGATTAGAGTCCAGTAGCACTTTAGAGACCAATGGGATTTGGGGGGGGGGTATAAACGTCCGACTTGTATCTGACAAAGGATTTTCTGCACTCCCATTTTCCTCGCATGTAAGTTCCTTTTGCTTGGGGGGGGGGTCCTGTTCTGCACATGTTTTACTCTTTCTAGTAGCTGATTCAATATTACATTGCTTTATGTCCTCCATAAAAGCCTGCAGTTAAAATCTGCAGGGAATACGCTGGACATACAGCCATGTAATATGAAACTGACCACTAGGGGGAGCAAAATGTGTGTAGAACCGGAGAATCCCTCCAAAGAAACGGGAACTTACAAGCAAAGAAAATGAAAATGAGGAAAAGCCCAAAAGGGAACTTAAGCTCTTGAAAACTCACACCCCAGATCTCGTTTGTCTCTAAGGTGCTACTGGACTCAAACCTAGCACATTTATTATTTTATCTTCAGGGAGAACGAGATGCCACGCTTCACATGAGGCTGATGCTGAAAACAGCCACCTCCTTCAAGTTCCCATCCTTTTCTCCAGGACATCTGAGCATGCTGACCCCTGCTGTCGGGTCATCATGTCCTTTTGTAAATTTTTCCTAAATGCCACCCCATTACTGCACTATTGTATATTTAATTCTTTGTTGTTGTTGTTTTTTTACTTTCAAGACCCCAAGGAGGTCTAAAATACAACCTAAAACCAGGATTACATAAAACCTTAAAACAATTCATATATATTTTTAGAAAGCCAGCAGTGCCAACCTCTAAAATACAGTAAAAATCCAAAGGGACAGTAAAGTAAAGGGAAAGGTTCCCTTGCTCGAAAGCCAGTCGAGTCCGACTCTAGGGTTGTGGTGCTCATCTCCGTTTCAAAGCCAGCGCTGTCCGAAGACGTTTCCGTGGTCGTGTGGCCGGCATGACTAAACACCAAGGCACACGGAACGCTGTTCCCTTCCCACCGAAGTGGTACCTATTTATCGACTTGCAATTTCTTGCTTTCGAACTGCTAGGTTGGCAGGAGCTGGAACTAAAGATGGGAACTCACTCCATCTTGCGGCACCGGGATCTTGAACTGCTGAGGTACTGACCTTCCACAGCCTGCAGTTCAGCGTCTTAACCACTTGAGCTACCACAGCTCCTTAAGGGAACAGTACCATGCACCAAAAAATACATGCCCAAAATATACCAAGAGCCTGATGTCAGGTTGCAACTCCTCCCACTCAACTGCCTCATCCTTTCGAGTAAAAGCAGACCTCAAGTTCACTGCCAAGATATCTTTGATCCAAGCATGTATACGTACGCTCGCACACCCCACTTCCCCATGTGGTGAGAAGTTCCTGGGGTAGTGCTCTATCTGTGTGGGTTCCCCTTGGAGAGAGAGCACCAGAAACCTGTGGAATTTTTGTAATATTTGCTTTATACACAGGTAAAGCACAGGTAGAACCAGGGGTCATTTCCTGCGGAAGCGCACAGGAGCGGAGCTCCGGCAGTAAGGAGCCCAGGGGGCGGGCACATGCAACAAGCCCCTCCCCCTGCTCCCAGCAGCCCTCAGTCAGAGCAAGAAGCAGCCAGGTAAGTTTCAGAGCCCCCCCCCCACCTTTAGGTACAAGCTCTTCCTCCTCTGTGGGGGCAGATCTGCGCGGTTCCCCCCCCCCATAGCTAGCAATCCAAAACAGTCCAGTGGCACCTTTAAGAGCAAGCTTTATTCAGGTACAAGCTCTCCCTCCTCTGGGAGGGCAGATCTGCACGTTCTCCCCCCCCAAATAGCTAGCAATCCACCTGAGCGGTCGGTGTTGCCTTCTGACACACTTTTGGTGATGTCAGGGGGTGTGGCATATGCAAATGAGTTATGCTAATGAGTTATGCTAATGAGCTTCTGCACCTCTTTTTGTATGAAATGACCCCTGGGTAGAACTAAATGGTACTCCTACAGAGCATCATGAATGCAATCTCAAACAGAGGCCTATTACTCATGGGTGTTTTCCCTCGCTTTCACTATGCATGTCTGTTGGGTTCTCTTTTTCATTCTGCTTTGATTTTCCTCCCTTCAGTGCTCAGTTTGCTCTCTGGTCGAAGTTTCCCCGGGTTTTCCGAGAGCACTTTTGTGCCAAATTTTTCCTTGTTTCGATTCCAAGCCAAAGGTAATTCAGAAGCATACAGATTCCCATTCACAGATCTTGTATACTCTTGTACACTCAGATCTTGTACAATGAGTGTGTGATTTTTTTAAAAAAAAACTCTTTATTAGGATATCACAATAGGTAAACTTATAATTCATGTAACAAGTAATCTCATATCTTTTTTCTCCCCTATACCCCCCCCCTTCTGACTTCCCACAGTGCTCAAACTTCTCATTCCCCCTTAGGTCAACCCCTTTCCCAATTCTTTAATATTATATATTTATTACAGGTACCGTATCTCTTTATCTATAGATCTATATATACGTTTAAACTTAATCAAGATCTTGTATACTCTTGTACACTCAGATCTTGTACAATGAGTGTATGATGTATACAAGGGCAAGTCTGGGCAGTATAAGTTCATGATCTTTAAACGTGTGATCTCGTTTTGCCACCTGCTAGTAATTAAAATAGTGTTTTTATGTAAAGGGAGTAGTTTGTTAGGCATATCATGAGCACTGAAAGAATCTGTTTCATTGAAGTGGGAAGAATGTTGTGTGTTAATTCACGGATAAGAATTGTGTAAGTATTTATAACATTACGGTAGGCATTCATGGAGTTTTCACGCAAGAATTAGTGATTATGTAAGATGGCTAATGCAATTGTTTTTCCTCTCTTTTCAGTGACATGTAAACTAATGGTATTCACGCAGCACACTTAGAAAAAGCGGTTATGTGAAACGGTATTATATACAATTCCTGTTGTATGTATGCGTATATTTTTATACTGTGATGAAGAAATACGATTCACTACAGAATAGTAGTGGGAAGTGGGAAGAATGTTGTGTGTTAGTTCACGGAAAAGAATTGTGTAAGTATTTATAACATTACGGTAGGCATTCATGGAGTTTTCACGCAAGAATTAGTGATTATGTAAGATGGCTATTGCAATTGTTTTTCCTCTCTCTTCAGTGACGTGTGAACTAATGGTATTCACGCAGCACACTTAGAAAAAGCGGTTATGTGAAACGGTATTATATACAATTCCCGTTGTGTGTATGCGTATATTTTTATAATGTGATGAAGAAATATGATTCACTACAGAATAGTAGTCTAAATATATTTTCATAATATAACATCACGGTTGTTTCCGTTATTGTTCGTAGCCATCCCGTGATCTCTGTGTTGTTTCTACATCCAACTTGGAGGTTGGCAACCCTATTCTAAAAACACTTGGTGGACACCAGGAAAGGTGTTGGCATGCACCAAATTGCCCACGGGCACCCTGTTGGGGACCCCCGTCTTAATACCCAATTGGGGAGATATCTACGGTCATTAAGACACATTACCATAGACTTTTGTCCTATGACACATCAGGATAGACTTCTGTCATGCAGCATAAACAACTCCACAGTAACAAGAAGGCAATCCAGTAACAACACTGTCTGTCCTTCACGCGGCCCACCCAGATGCAGAAATGTCCATTCCTTACCTTGAACAGCTGAACTCCGATGCATGCAAACATGAACTGCAAGAGGGTGGTGACTATCATGATGTTACCAATGGTGCGGATGGCTACAAACACGCACTGCACCACGTGCTGTTGGGAAAGAAAGGGGGAAAGGGGGTGTGAGATGGCCGGCAGCAAAGACATTTCCATAACTCTGCTATGCTAGGTGGAGAATAATATGGAGGAATGTAACATAAGAACATCAGAAGAGCCCTGCTGGATCAGACCAATAGTCTATCTAGTCTAGCATTCAGTCTCACACAGTGGCCAGCCAGTTCCTCTGGATGACCAACAACAACACATAGAGGCCGACGCCTTCATAAGTACATCAGAACAGCCCTGCCGGATCAGACCAGTGGTTCATCTAGTCCAGCATCCCATCTCATGCAGTGGCCAACCAGTTCCTCTGGAGGACCAACAACAGGGTACAAAGGCCTTTCCCTGATACGAACCTAAGAAGAGCCCTGCTGGATCAGACCAGCTTTCATAAGAACATCAGAAGAGCCCTGCTGGATCAGACCAGTGGTCCATCCAGTCCAGCATCCCGTTTCACACAGTGGCCAACTTGCTCCTCTGGATGGCCACAAGAACAGGGCAGAGAGGCCGTGGCCTTCATGAAGAGCCCTGCTAGATCAGACAGTGGTCCATCTAGCCCATCATCCTGTCTCACACAGTGTCCAGTCAGTTCCGCTGGACGGACAACAACAGGGCATAGAGGCTGAGGCCTTCCCCTGACGTTGCCTCCTGGCTGTTTATTCTAGTGGCCATCACTACATCCTCCGGCAGCAAATTCCACATTTTTAATCACCCTCTGTGTAAAGTAGTATGGAAGGAACTACAGAGGTCCATCTTCTATGCCATAGATCATGGATCTCCAATCTTGTTTGATCAGCAGGGCTGCAATATTTTGGAATACTGAGAAAGGGTACTGGGCAACCATCATAAAATGGCTGCCACAGAGAGGGTTCCAGTCGCAAAACGTTGGGGGGTTCCAAGTTAAGTGTCCTCCTGTGATGGAGGCACATGCTTCCAAATGGGCACTCTTTGCAGACTCTTGGGATCTTTTAAAGCTCTTCTTATACCAAGGAGATGGAGGAAAGCTGGGATTGGCTCTTTTCTTAAGGGAAGAAATGCTAACTGGCTTAGTTGTTGTAGATTTTCTGGGCTGTAGGGCCATGGCCTTGGCATTATAGTACCTGACATTTCGCCAGCAGCTGTGACTGGCATCCTCAGAGGTATAACACAGAAAGATGGGGTACTCTGTGTGTCAAGGTGAGAAGAAAATGGTAGGCAGGTAACTTATATCTACTGAGGAAGGTGGAGTAGGGCTGAGTCATTATCTTCTAGGAGTTTCCCAGGCTGTGACATGCTAATGGAGGAACTTTCCTGAGGAGGTTCTTTTGCATACGGATGGGCTGTTGAAATTCTAATCTTATCTGTAGTGCTGTTGTAAGAAGTAGAGCCTTTTGTGTTTTTCAGGACAGGAAACCATGCCCTATTTATTTGTAAACTCTCTTCTTTCCTGTTGAAATTGTGTTTATGTTTATGCATTTCAATGGCTTCCCTGGGTAATCTGACATGGTAATTGGATGTGTTGTCCAGCCTTTCGGTGTCTTGGAATAAGATCCTGTGTTGTGTTTGAATTAGGCTCTGTTCAGCCACTGCTGATTTTTCAGGTTGGCCAAGTCGGCAGGGTCTTTCATGTTCGTTTATTTTTGTCTGGATGCTACGCTGTGTGGTCCCGATGGAAACCTGTCCACAGCTGCTCACTGGTTTGTTTCCGAAAAAGGTTGTTTGCTTCCTGAGCCAATACAGGAAGCAGCTGCTGCTCGATGGCCAAGAAGAGGATGCACAGGTACGATCTACCTGACTGGGACGAGCTCAGCACGTCGTTCATCGGCCAGTTTGGGCCCTACCTAAAGCTGCCTGTTTCCCCCTGTCCTATTCAAGTCATTTGGGTTTTATCTCCAAGACTCAAGCAAGTGGGCACCAAGGAACACGTGGCAGGCACCGGGTTGGGGATCACTGGACTATGTTGTAGAAAGGAGGAAAAGAAAGAGAAAGAAGGAGTCTTTGGAGGCCTGGGCCAGAAGCTCTGAGGTTCTCAGCAATTGCAAGAAAACAATATGCAAGATCCAGGTTTGCTTACAAGGAGATTTAAATAAATTAGCAAACTTGCAGAAATAGCAGGCTAAGCTTCCATCCGCTGGGCCTCGAACACACGCACACACAGCGAAGCTAGCCAGTATCCAAGATGAGATACATAAGCTAAAACTAAACATCTTATACCAACTGTTGGCTACAAGTCAAGAATATCGTCATCAAAGCTACCTCCAATGCTCCCTCTAAGCTGTGGAGTCTTGTGAGCAAAAATTCTACTTTGTGAGCTAGCGGCATTAAAGTCGTGAGCGAGCGATTTGGCTGCTGCATAAATCAGTTTGCTCTAGAGCCCTCCTTGCTGAGCTAGGACAAAAAAGTTTGAGCCGGGGGCTAAAAAACTAACTAGCTAACACTAACTAGCTAACACTAACTCAGCTTAGAGGGAACACCGGCTACATCCCTAAACATTGATAGGAGCCAGGCCATATCTTGCACCTGGCACCTAGTAGCTGAGCAAAACACAGACTAGATAAGTACTAATGAAAACAGGGACAGCTATTCTCCTGGGAAGCCGCCTGCCAGCCATCCTCCCAGACAGCTAGAGGTCAGGCAGTGGCAAAAAAACCCAAAATGGAGTTAGGCAGGCTATACAGGCAGATCTGCTGCCAGGTCCCTCACCTTGAGCCCCTTTGCCCGGTTGATAGCTCGGAGGGGACGGAGCACTCGTAGCACTCGCAAGATCTTCACTACGGAAATGGCACTGGAGCTGAGGACGGAAAAAGGAAAGGAAAGGGAATGAGAAAGCTGCGGGGCTCTAAAAAAGTCAAGATTCTTATTTTTCACTTTGTATACATGTCTCACTTAACCCTCCCGGGTCCTTTCTCCCCTTGAGTGGGACTAAGGCGGTCCATTCCTTCTCCTTGTTCGATGCATGTCTCACATGACCCACCAATGTCCCATCCCCCCCGAATGTGGTTAAGGTGGTCCATTACATCTCTTTCTGCTCCCTACCCGAGGGATTAGACCCAGTCCCCGTTCAGACTTACTGGATGCCGAAAGAGATGAGTGAGACGCTGACGACAAGCAGATCCAGAAGATTGAACCAGTTCCGGCAGAATGAGCCCTTGTGTAGGAAGGCGCCATAAGCTGTCATCTGAGGACAGAGACATGCTAAACACCTGGATCTAGATACTAAGACCCCCCCTGTACAGTATGCAAGTTGTAGAATAGACTGTGCACATTTCCTTGGTTTGCATGTAAAGGTAAAGGTTTCCCTTGCTCGAAAGCCAGTCGAATCTGACTCTAGGGGGCGGTGCTCATCTCCGTTCCCAAGCCGAAGAGCCAGCGCTGTCCAAAGACGATTCCGTGGCCATGTGGCCGGCATGACTCTACGCAGAGGCGCACGGAACGCTGCTACCTTCCCACCGAAGTGGTCCCTATTTATCTACTTGCAATTTCTTGCTTTCGAACTGCTAGGTTGGCAGGAGCTGGGGCCAGAGACGGGAGCTCACTCCGTCACGTGGCACTCGGGTGTCAAACTGCCGAACTAAAGACCTTCCGGTCTGCAGCTCAGAATCAAACGCATCTCGATGCAAAATTTTATTTTTAAAAAACAGAAAACACGCCGACCCACAGAGAGAGCATTATTTGGAGTTCATTCTGCAGTTGCTAATCCCCTTCCCCCTGGTTGGGTAGCCACGGGGTTCTGAGGGCATTAGCCCTGGTAGCAGCCATTTCCTGAGGCCACCTCGTAATTTTGGACTCTGGGATACACGCTCCACCTTCCCAACTGATGGACCCGGCCCTCCCCCCCCATATCGTTATCTTCTCTCTGCTTTAGACCTAGTATACCTTGAGCAGGATCTCAACAGTGAAGATCGCAGTGAAGGCATAGTCAAAGTAGCCCAGAATCTGAGCAAGGGGTGAGAAAGGGAAGAAGAGGGCCAAAAAGGAGAGAGAAAGAAAGAGAGAAGAGAGAGGAGTGAGCATTGATTCTTCTTTCGCTTCCACTCCCCTCCTTTCCCACTCCCAGGGGTCATTTCCTGCGGGAGCGCACAGGAGCGGAGCTCCGGCAGTAAAGAGCCCAGGGGGCAGGCACACACAACAAGCCCCGCCCCCTGCTCCCAGCAGCCCTCAGTCAGAGCAAGAAGCAGCCAGGTAAGTTGCAGAGTCCCCCC